CTAACCCAAGCTAACCTAACCTAAACTAACCTAACCTAATATAATCTAACCTAATTTAACCTAACCTAACCTAACCTAAGCTAACCTAACCTAACCTATTCTAACCCAAGCTAACCTAACCTAAACTAACCTAACCTAATATAATCTAACCTAATTTAACCTAACCTAACTTATTTTTAAAGAGATGTGTGCCGATAACCCACAAGTATCGTCTCAAGATTACAGTCGCGAAGTATACTTGCGATTGCTTCCATCTTGTTACATGTTTATGTTTACTAGATATGATCCTGATTTTTATTCTCAATCTCCGCTCAATTTCCCGTGTTGCTCAGATTGACGAGGTACTGAACACGCTCGGACTGTTGTCATGCCGCAACACACGAACCGAATGTCTGTCAGGTGGACAGAGGAAACGTCTGTCCATTGCCTTGGAGTTGGTCAATAATCCTCCGGTTATCTTCCTCGACGAACCTACCACGTAAGAAATCGTATCTTGCTCAATTTTAATTATCATTTAAGTTTTGTTTTGTATTATTATCATCCTTAAAAAATTTTGTGGGTTACCGGAAGACGTCAGTCGAGATATGAACCAGAGACCTTCTGGATACGATGTTAATTAGGTATAATAATTATAATTACAGTAAGAACATCCTAGTGAGAAAAATTTAACGACAATAATTAATTACATAATTTTGGCAAAATGTTTTCGTAATTCTGACCTTGTGGTCACTCTGCAGGGGGCTCGACGTAGTCGCGATAAAGCAGTGCATATCGTTGTTGAAGCTTCTGGCTCGGCAAGGTCGTACGATCATCTGCACGATCCATCAGCCCACGGCATCAAACTTCCAGCTGTTCGACCAGGTGTACGTCCTCGCTAAAGGGCAGTGCGTGTACCAGGGGGCTTCGCAACAGGTGGTTCCTTTTATGTCTTCAGTGGGGCTCCATTGCCCCAAGCATTACAACCCAGCTGACTACGGTAAATGTGACGCATCTACAGCCTTTTTCATTTGGGACTAGGGGGCTTAACCCCCCCCCCCTGTATTAAGGGGCTGTGGCCTTCGGAATGTCGTTGTTCTTCAGAAATATTTTATGTGTCCATTTTAGTGCTGGAGATGATTCAAGGTGAGTACGCGGAGAACGTGAGGATCTTGTCGGCCGAAATTCAAAATGGGAAATTGAGCAAGAAGTTGGATCCGTCCGTTGCAGCGGGAGAAGGCGTTTCGGATCCAGACAGCTTAAAATCCATCGCAAAAATATGTAAGTGGATGAAGTCGGAAATAGTCGACGTGCGATTTTTGCCTTTCCTCTGATGTCGACGGTTCGAACACTAAAAGGTACTTTGGGTGTTGGGGTTTAGTAACAAACTCAGGTAACGTTCAGGATTTGACCTTTGACTCCCGCCAGTTTTTTTTCTAAAATATGATATTTCTCTTGAATAAAATTAATAAAACTATTTGAGGTTACTTTTATTATTTTGTGTGTTACAAATGTTAAATCATAAATTTATTCAGCATTAACACCCTTTTTAAAATAATCATCTTATAATAGTCTCATACCGTAATAATGGCCTTGTAATCCTGGGGGTCCCGGGTTCGATTCCCGGCGGTGCCCAAATTTTTAACTTGTGTTGGGCAAGGCCGTGGTCCAGGCAACACGGAGATTTCCTCCGGGGCTTCCCCGGTTTCTCCATACACACTGAAGAAGGCAACGGCAAACACTTATGTATCACCTGCCTAAAAAAAATATTGACAGGTCCCAGTCCGAGAAAAGGATGGGATAAAGAAGACGAAATCTCAAATCATGTGTAAAAGTAACTTTTTTTGTAAGAAATATGTCTTGTCCCTTCTGTAACATCCGCACAGAAACTTTTAGTCTTGGTTTCTAAGGTTAGAATATTTTTATAATTTTTCCTAGGTCGAAGAGAGTCTGTAGCTGTAATGCCAGCCGTCTTTAATCACGCATTAATGGATTCTATGGACATTAATAGGGATTATGAGTTCCCTACGTCGTGTTTTCAGCAGTTTGGAATCTTGGTACAGCGATTATTCTTGCAACAGAGACGAAACACTGTAAGTTTTTCAGCGCTCAAATGTTTGGCTGTGATCAGTTCAATAAATAACGAACATCATCACTGAAAGAGTTACGCCACGAACCCAAAAGTAAATCTTGTTGTACGCATTAAAATTTATTATTTATGCTATTTTTTAGGGTACACGTGAATTTATTTTGTATATTTTTTTAAATGTTCTTATGACCACCAAAATTCTATAGCTGTGGATAAAAGAGAGCGTACAATTATTAAAATTTCCCATTCTGTTTAAATGTGTTAATAAAATTTTCTGAACTCGAATTTTCATGTTTCGAAGAAACCCCTAAAAGGCAAGAATAATCTACATATAAATTCATAAATAATTATTTGATGTATAATAATTTTAGAATAAATACTTACGAACGTAATTTTATTTTGTATAGATTAAAAAAGAAAATTATGTAAAAATCGCAGGGCAGTATGTTTCTCCACGTGACGTCACAACCCACAAGACCACAATGAACAGGTCTTTCGTTTGTTTGTTTGTAAAAATGTTCTTGCTATTCGTATTATTTCTACTCAAGATTCTTTGCAAAAATTTTAAATTTACAAAATGGTGAGAGTCGATTTAGAGAAGTCTCATTTGTGTTATGGGAAGGCTTTCATTTCGTTTCAGGTCTCTCTAGGTATACAGCTGTTTCACCATCTGTTCTCAGCCGTTCTTATCGGCGGAATCTTCGTTCAGACCGGCGACGACGCCAGAAGACCTTTTGCAAACGTGAAGTTTTGCCTTAGCATACTCGTATTCTTCCTCTATACGCACATCATGACTCCCGTCTTACTATGTGAGTCCTCCATTTTATGTCAGATATTTTAATGGTTTACAAACTCTTGAATTATTTTATTTTATTTAGTGTACGCACGTAACTTAATAGCATTCATTAAAACATTACAACATTTTTAAGTATTTAAATACTTAGGGAAATAATAACAAATGTAATTTCTCGATAACATTAAAAAAAAATCATAAAATACTTTTTTTATAAATTGGTAATTATCACTTCGTATAATTTTAAAAGCAATTAAAATTGGTGTTCCATATATAATTATTTTTTTAATTATTTTTATGGTTGTGTAGGGAGAAAAATTTGGTTATCAGAATTTTTTTGGAATTTCTACAAAATAAAAGTCTCTTCTGTTACTTTTTGGCTGTCGAACCAAATTTTATTTTCGAAAACTTTTGATCTCTGTGGACCATTTTTTCTAATTTAATTCCCTCTGAGATGAATCATAAACTTTTTCGGTGAATTTTACTGTACAAATGTGAAAATCTAAGAATAGGTTATTCTGACAAGGACAAGGAGATTAATGATTTATGTCATAAACTTAAGTGTGATCATTAATTAAGTCTTAATTAGTTTAATTTTTATTACAGTTCCAACTGCTGTTAAGCTTCTGAAGAGGGAATATTTTAACAGGTGGTACGGCCTAAAGGCTTACTATTTGGCCATCACCGTGGCTTCTGTACCATCAATGGTAAGCGATTGTCACGTGCATCTATATCACCAAAATTTTTAAAAGATGTCTTTTGTTATTTTAAAAATTCTCGTGCCAGTTTTTACGAGATACTGCGTAAGAATCTACCCTCGTTGACGTTAGGATGTCTTATTCTGCTTTGTCGACCGTGTTTTGAACTGAAAAAGTCAAATTTTACATTTCAGTTCCGCCATCTTGTTGACGATTTCTGTGTTCTGTTTACGCGTCATGTTTCTGGATGTTAGTAATTTCTGAAAATGTGCTTATTTCTATTAAGCTAAAGTTTATGTCATTTTCATTGTTTTCGCTATAACCAAAATCACGAGATAAAAATTCGGAAACGAACTTAACAGAAGTTTTACATTTCAGTTCTGTTTCAGTCTGATATTCTGTCTGGTATCGTATCTCTTATCGTCACAACCTTTGGAGCCGAGTCGCTTTATTTGGTTTTTCGCTGCTAGTGTGGCCGTGGGACTTGTTTCCGAGGGCCACGGCATGATCGTCGGCTCCGTCTTCAGCGTCATGGTACGATGACACCCTTCTACTCTTCTAATGTGACCCATGTAATTAAAAAAAAATATTTAAAAAAAAATTAATAATGGTTTCTTTTACAATTTTATCGTCATTGTGACGATGGTTTTTTTTCAGAACGGTTCGATCGTAGCTCCAGCGTCGTTTTCTCCGCTTCTCGCTTTGGCTGTTTATGGAATGGGCCACGGAGGAGCCATAGAGCAAAGTATGTCTTTTCTTATGGGCCTGAGTTACCTCCGATATGGACTCGTCGCTATCACAGATTCTCTGTACGGACATGGTCGTCCTCTTCTGAGCTGTCTCGACAGTGATTTTGATTATTGTCATTACAAGGATCCCGAATTACTGCTCAGAGATTTAGGCATGGCCGACACGACGACCCTAGGACAGATCGTGGCCTTGCTCGGGTTCGCCCTCGTCTACCGATTCGTGGCGTACTTGGCTCTCCGCTACAGACTCACGTCAGAATTCTCTAATCAGGTGTTGAACTATATCGCGAAGATACTGAGACATAAGTGAAAAGAAAAAATGTTTCGTTGATCTAAAAGATGTTTTTTTTGTTAGATTTTTTTAACCTTTATCGTTGATGACGTCGAGGACTACGCGAAGTACGTCTTTGTTTTCGTAGTATATCGCCAAATTTTTAAACTTCAAAGTTAAAGTTTGGAACAAAAGCCCTCTAGAAATGGAGTTTAGACTAAGATGACCCCCCCAGAAAAAAAAAAATATGGTGGCCCCCACAACTGGGTTTTACAGCCAAGAAAGAAGAATAAGAAGAAATCGGGTTTAAATTCCCTTTTTCAGTGTGACGAAAATTAAATAGCGTTGGAACAAAATGTGACCGACTTCAATCAGAAAGAAATAATTGGTGATTTTTGTGGTGTTTGTTGCGAGAGAAAAAAATATTCGTGTAAATGTGTTCGCAGCATCGATTCTGTAAAATTATTACAGATGTAAGACGCACGACTGCGCGGGATATTTGCGTCGGACATCGGTAACGCGATGTTCGGCGTAAAAACCTCCAATTGCGAGATAAGATCAAGAGAAGAGGAAATGTGATTCTGTCACGTGTTAAAGGTAAGAACCACCAATTCTTCACTTTGAGACCTTAAACGAATGAAAGAAAAATAATAGCGAGATTTAAGATTGCAGAAGACATTAGCAGCGGACAGGAAGTACGAAGATGGCTGTCTTCTGGTATGCTGATGATGGAGGCAGCAGTCGCCTCTGAAACATCACAAATCTTGTACCAGACAGCAACCCAGAAGACAGGCATTTTCAGCGGCAAATTTCATTCATGTCCTTGATAGCTACTTTTATAGGTTACAGCAGCGGTATTCAACCTTTTTTGTTCGCGTACCCCCAGGGGTACGCGTACCCCAGGTTGAATACCACTGATCTACGGAATGTCAATAAACGTCATTGTTGGTCAGAACTGTTAATGCACAAATAGTAATTTTTAGATTTTTACTGAATTCAGGAGAATTCATGCTTGTCCAAAACCTGTCTGAAAATTTTGACTGTGCCTAGCAAAAACATTGCTCACGAAGACCCGTCTATTTCTCGTTTGCGACAATCTGAAGGCCAGTCTTGTCAGCCTCCTGTGTATTGGACCAGCCTTTGAATGAACTGTGTTCTAAGAGAAACCGATTTAGATAAGATTTTGTATAGTCGGCCAATTGGAATTACTAACATGAGTGAAAAAGTTAAACGTGAAATTTTATTATAATATTTGATACCATTTGAACACGATAATTAAACAAGTTTTTAAAATCTGTCGGAATAAAATGTTTTCGGATGGGTTCTAAACCGCTTATGCATCACGTCTTATAGGAGAGGCTTCTCACTGGTGACATTCATTATTTTTTAATTCCAGACTTTAATATTTCACTTTTCCTCTTTGTTTTAATTCTCAGATATGTAAATTGAATGTTATGTCCAGTCAAATTCTGCTAATACGTCGTGTTATTAAATCGTACTTCATATCGATGGCTGTGATCGAATCTGGCGAAAGACGCTTGGAAGTTCGGATAGACAGACAGACAAACCTCAATCCCTGATGCTCGTGAAAGGTAACAGATTTTCTGTGTTAGCTCATACAACTATTTAGTATGCTTTTCGTACTATCCATGTTTTTATAATTTGCCTTGGTAATTTTTCTCTGACTGCGGAAAATCAAGATTTACGTGTATGTAAGAGCAGAGTAGTTTGTGTCTCTGTATTTCTTCGCCTCGTTGTCTTAATTAAATAGAATGTAGTGTATGTTATATTAATTGTATTTTTAGTGTCTTGTTGTGATGTGATTTGATTATTCAGAATATGTAGCACACATAGACACGAATATCACAAATTTGCAATAACAATATTCACGTTTTGTAGCAAATGAGAAATGCCGAACTAATTCTATTATTTCATTTTAAAACAAAAAATTGTAAATGTTTTTCTTTTTAAAATGTTCCTTTTTTTCTCTATTTTATACAAGTATAAACAAAGGAAATACACATGTTCTGTGTAAATTTAATGGCATGGCAGACGGCTAATAAGGAGAAAAAGAATTCTACTAATTATAAGAATTAAAAACATGTCACGCCCTGATTATTGTCTGTCAGTTATTTTACGTACAGAATTGGACACACCTTATCTTCCTGTCCTCATAGTTGAAGCGCTGAAAATGGAGATATTATATTTCTATGAAACACTGGTATCAGTATTTTACGAAACTTATTTTATCAAATTAAAATCACACTTTAAAGATGTGTCGAAGAGTGGAGAAAATATTGCATGCGTTCTTGACCTCGGAAACGGATGGAGACGTGACAAGCCACGTTCTCAGATTGATGTCCTCTCGGGGAGTGAGTTTCTGGTACCAAACGGATGACTGGTGGGACTCCGAGCCCATATGGACGCCTTGCATACGAGAAAAATCTGTCCGTCCTCCAGCCATTAACCCAGTCACCTCCTTGAACAGTGAATTGGGCTTTGCGGATTTCATTTCGATGAATGTGACTATTTGTGATAAGACCTGCCCTCACTGACCTTGTTTACTGAATGAAGACATAATAATGATGCAAAATGTATTAGAGTAATGACTGATGTATTTATAGTAATTGAAATGTCTGCAACCACATTTAATAGTGTGTTTTTGCACCACTGTACAGTGTGTCCGTGAACTTATGATTCCCAAGCGTCGTTGTTTTGTAATGGTGTTATAATCGTCAATGAAACATAACCCCCCCCCCCAAAAAAAAAAAAAAAAAAGAACTGTGGAAATTTACCAGTGATTCCATTTTACATATCTTGTTGGTATGTGAAATATTTTACACCACAGAGAGTATATATTGATTATCGATTCATTAGTGTACCTTGATTAGTCGATTAAGAGGTCAGTGCAATTTATTTTCATATGTGAAATATTTTACACCACAGAGAGTGTATATTGATTATCGAGTCATTAGTGTCTCTTGATTATTTTCACCCTCTATACCAGTGGTATTCAACCTGGGGTACGCGTACCCCTGGGGGTACGCGAAGACATCTTAGGGGGGTACGTGAGATTTAAAAAATATATATATTATTTTATGATAAACACTGAATAATCAGTAATGTAATTTATTTAATTTATTTTAGATGTAGATTATACACTACGTATAACTTGAATTATACACCAAAGTTGAAGAGAAATTATATCTGGGGGTACGCGAACAAAAAAGGTTGAATACCACTGATCTATACTACGTGTTTCATGCACTCGCTGGTTCGAAGTGCGTCGTTGAGAAGAGTTAAGAACTATGAATTAAGAATCACGTGATTGATAAACCAAGACAACGTTTAACTTATATCGTGTACTGTATGCGTCATAATTATGTACAGATTTTTAGATTTGACGTGCTTTTGTCGCAGTTAAATAATATCGTACTCGTTATGCGTGTCATAGAACGAAGTACGCAGGCGCGCTAGTATATTTGAACGTGCTGACAGCTCTGTTTCAGAATGCAACTCTTTATTTCAATATGTAACATTTAAAGTTCTCACTGTGGTTAATATGTCGACAGTGATCTCCTGGATCGTACAACGTAAGTGAGCACGTCATTTGTGACATTCAATTCGGTACCGGTCCAGACCGGTTATGGGTCCCACCCACCCTCCTGTCCAACGGGTCTTTTCCCGGGGGTCAAGTGCGGTCGAGGCATGATGCAGACCACTCACCCTTTCCAATGCCAAAGTTAAGAATAAGTAAGACGCTTACAATTCACGTAGCGGCACGGATTTAATATTTTTTTAACTCGATGAAAAATAGGCCTTCATTATCAAACAAAACGAAAGTTGTCGGATGAAGGTACGTGACAATTTTTTTAATCCATCATAAATCGTCTTATTCTCCAACATCTTTGGGTGTTTCTCCATCATAATGTTTTCTGACATCTCCTTTTAAGGCATTTATTTGTATGTATTAATCGATTATTGAAACTGCGTATGTAAAGAACGTCTCTGTTTGGTTCGTGATCGGAAAATCTGAGATTCGAATCTCGGCTTTCGTGGTATTTCTCATTTACTTTTGTCCTATCTTAAATTAGGTCTCGAAATCTCGGCTTTCGTGGTATTTCTCATTTCCTTTTGTCCTGTCTTAAATTAGGTCTCGAGTTCTTTAAATTTAATTCCAATTGATCATTTAGTAATTATCCAATCTTAAATTAACAAAATTAAAATAAATAAATGTAGAAAATATAAACGTTATTTTTTACGTGTAGTATTAAAATATTGTTTAGTTAATATTCTTATATAATTATCGAATATATTCAATCTTACAGTGATAAAATGACAGAGAAGCAGCCATTACTTGTCCCGAGGTCAAGTTTATTTATAATATTATAAGAAGATGGTTAGGGTTGAACTTTGGAAGAGGGGCAGATCCGAGCACGGACTCCAGAGGTGACGTCTGGTCCTTGGTTAAGCGAAGCCTTCAGCCGGGCGATCGTATGAGAACAGAACGGGGTGGTAACTCCGATAAATAACTTCAACACTCTTGTCTGCAACCATTAGTTTGTTTGATCCCATGCGTGGTTGATCGTCTCTGGAGATAACAATTTTAGATTGGAAATAAACAAGTGGATTACAAATCGATCCTTTTTATATTTGTTTGGAAATATTGTAGAATGACGTAAGTAATTATTTTAAGTTTAATAAACTATATAGTACGCATTCTATTTGAGATTTTGATGGTGACCACCGTTTATTGCGTCGTATTCGACCCTGAAAGAAGGAGACAGCAGGGTTGTCCGAAATGTTGTTACTTTGATACTGTGATATTTTGAAAATACTAAGCGTATTATATATTATTGTGTATCCTACTAAGTGTAGAAGTATTTTAATAGATTTTTTCAAAATAATATTAATATTTCAACGGTAGAAATACTTGTATTGTATTTCTGGTTGAGAGTCACTTGTTTTTTAATTTTGTATTTAGTGTGTTTGTTTCTCTATGTTAGTCCGTAGTACAAGCCTTGCGAATGGCTCTACCGCTAAGGTAACCTACCTCATGTACAAAATATTGTAGATCTAATCATTAAATCGGGAGAAGTAACGCGATTACACATTCCGTACCATCAAATTAAATCTGATATTCTATTTTATGGATTTTTAAAATGTATTATTTTGCCTCTTTTTAGAAGTAACATTTGTTGTGAAGCACCCTGTAGAGTCTGCCCCTCATAGCAACTGCAGCACAAGCTGCTTCTTGCACAGTGCGTCGAAAAACTTGCTTCATGTCTACGCAGTTCACTTTCCACTTACGTCGTACACAAACTAGTGATAACTCTTAATAAGAGTCTGAAGAGCTCAGTCTGTGTGGTGATTGGGCTACGGGATGGATGGTCGGGGGTTTAATTCGCGGCAGGGACTGATTTTGAGGTTGGAAAATCAGCTGGAGAATGGAGCTGACCACTCACATCCACATTCATAAGAGAATACGTGGAGATAAACTTCAACTTCTACATAAATCATAAAGCCGTGTGCGTGATTAAACATAGTGATTATTTTATATTACTCCCTAAACTAGTAAGTGGTTTCAAGTAATAATTTTAATTATATTTTAATTTAAATGGAATACTTTTTTTTTGTTATAATAAATTAACTTTTGTCGTTTTAAAACCGTGTTTTGTTTTAGTATTTGTTACGATGTGTACGAAGTTTATGTTTGAAAATATCGTGCAATTTGATTTTCATTTTTTTTTTAATCGACTCACTATCAATGAGAAATAACTCGTGGGTCCTCCGGGTTATCGGTGTACTTTTCATTGCCATAATTTCTTTCTGACTTTCCCTCTCTCTCTCGAAACATCTGGATGCATGATAAAATATGCCCTCTAGGAATTGTATTTTGTCAGAGCAAAGGCACATTCTGACATCCTACAAGCAGCACCAGGCAAGACATTCAGGTGACAGTGGAACTTTCAAGAAGATACTTTTAATAATCCTTTTCAGATTTTGTGGCCTACGTAACTAATGTAAAATTAGTTTCGAAGACGACCGTATTCTGGGATGTTTCGCCTTGTAATCTGATAGAAATTAACCGACGTTTCAGAGGATCATGTTACCTCCATCATCAAGCTGGTATTTTGTGTTGTGATGCAGTGTTATCTTATAAGCTGCTGAAGATGGTGGCGGTACGTTCCTCCGTAATACCGGTAGTTTCCTCCAAGACTACACAGTGTCGCATTCTAAAGACAACCACCCACAGATAGAGGGACCAATTGACTTTATCTTTAGACAAAATGTCCCGAAGTTTTGTTTCGACGTTTCTTATGTAATATTTTGCAGTTGTGGATAATTACAATTAAAACAAATAACACTTTACGTTTAAAACAGCATTAAAGAACGTATAATTATATACATTTTTAAACATAGATTATTACGAAACTTGGTATTGGTAACTCTGTATTTATTTGTTTGTTGGTTTATACTTGGGAGTGCCTTTATGGTGATAGTATATCATTTATTCTGTTTATCGTCAATTTCAAATGTAACATCTTGCGTACCTGATTCTATCTATTTGAAATTTTGTCGGAAGTACAGAAGTTTCCATAAAAGACGAAACTTTTTATTAAACACAACATTTTGTAAAATGGTTTTAAACAGCTGGAGATCTAAATTCAATTTAAAAAAATATGTCCTCGATTTAGAAACGATAAATTCGTAACTAGAGAATTATTTCAACTTTCTTCGTGGTATATTTGTTGTAATCTCGCCGAAAACTATTCTTGATAATAACTTTTTGTCGCCGTCAGCGCAGAGCCATGTTGCTATCCTTATAAGAACATAAATGTGTGACGAAGTTAATTTTCATTAACGCGAATTTTAACGTGAGTTTATTATGTGCTGATAGCAGATTCGAGAAACGACCATCTTGTTCTCTTGTGCTCATCTCGTGGACCTGCGTCTGTGTTGACGTTGAGGGCTTATTCCGTCAGATATATTCTGTGTCCGCTCGGTACTCAGAAGAAACTCCCTGGTGACAGCTTCTGCCACAAATAACCCAAATAACACCTCGTCATGGCACTCGACTTTTTCGCTGGATGTTTGGGAGGTATGTATCAATCTATGCCTTCTTTATTTCTTCAGTAATTAAGATTTGTTATTGTTTAAGGTAATTTTGTTTTGTATGGATGTATATAAGTAGTAATAATAAGTATAAAGAAATAATTATAATAATAAATGCGATATTCATATTTGTTTCAGTATCATACCTATTAATCATTTAATTTAAAAATGTATTTTTTTTGGCGTGAATTTATAATAATATCTGTGCACGTTGTACGTAGTTACGAAAGATATCTAACATCACAAGGATTGGAATCCAGTTTAATTGAACCAAAACCTCCGGAAAAGTGAAAAAAACCCACAAAATTTTCACGTAAGTCGTGTGTTCCTAGCTCCTTCACGTCAGAACTTGTTTTTCGAACTTCTCTCAAAGTGATAAAGCTCTCGCCACTACAGGAATTAATTATATCTTACAATTAGTTAATTCTTTAAATCCGGCTGGTAACTGTGTGTATACCATCTATTTTGACAATTAGTAATTCTGCGTTTTGTGTTAAAAGATTTCATACGACTCTTAAAGAGCGTTAACCGGTTGATATTTGTAATGGTCAAGAGTTATGTTTTCTTTGCGGTACGGACTGAATTTTTTTAACATTTTTTTTTAAACGAGGTTCTGCCTCAAGGCGTTAAGGATATGGAAAAGAGAAAGTGACCTTCAGTTATAGTTGTTCAGAGGTCGCTAGCCGGGGTCAAACAAGGTTATCTTATCCACGTTCAGACAGAATTATTAAACTTCTCATAGTCGTTGCGAAATTCGTCCTCTTCTTATATAGTTTATCAATTTCGTCATTTACTAATAATTAAATCTATTTATTTGCTTATTTACTAGCAGCTAAGTTTTCTGTGTGGCCATTCTTTAAATTGTTGAATGTGTTTATGTGGTTACCAACGTTTTGGAGGAATGTGTCGTCATTGCATTTGTTTGTCAATGTTTCCGCGTGATGACAAAGTTCTTTCAATTTTAATGCCCAAAGCAAAGAGGAATATTCAGCATTGAATCGTCTGAGTTAAATCTACAGTGACACTCACAGTCGATATGAATGTTAAAAAAGGTTTACCGTCTCTGGATTTTCGAGTGATTATTATTTTTGTTTCATGTAGGCTGTGCTGGAATAATGATGGGTCATCCCTTTGATACAATTAAGGTAGGTCATTATTTATGTTATTCATTGCTTACCGTAATAAAATTTGTATCGCAGAATTTATTTGTGAAAATATATGGCAAATTGGTGAGAAATTTTATTTATTTATTTAAGCTGAATCTTATTTTATTTCTAATATTGCAGGTTCGGCTTCAAACACAGAATTTTCGGAATCCACAATATAAAGGAGCTGTCGATTGCCTTACAAGCATTTTAAAGAAAGAATCGGTAAGACTCTTTTATGGTTAATGGCAAATATTTTTTTAAGTTTTATTTTATTTAGTCTGTATTAATACTGCTGGATTACAGTATAAAGTCTTTGGTTTATTATACTAATAAGAAAGAACATCTTCAGTTTAGACATGGAATCAGGACATTTTTAGTGCCCTCGACCCCGAAGCGAAAAGACCACCCCTTGACAGCTGTCCACGATTGCTGAAGCTGTCTCTCGTGTGTGCATCCACAGTCAGAGGACAAGAGACTTACTTGGCATGGAAGATGTCATTTTAGAAGTTAAATTAACGGAACTTATATTTACACGTGGCTTCCATAATAATTTTACACAACTTTAATTATCAACTTGCTGATATAAAAATCCATATAATTCTCAATATTACCACTTTCATTTCTTAACGATATTTCCTAATAAAATTAAATTTATTTTTGAAGAAAATGTCCTGGGTTTAAGCAACCCCGCCTCCCTAGTTTAACCTTTTGAAGCCGAAGCTCGTCTAAATATTATTTAATAAACCAGTCCGTAACGAATAGACAACACTTTGCAGATATGGGGACTGTACAAAGGGATGTCCTCGCCGATGGCTGGAGTCGCCGTAGTAAATGCAGTCGTGTTTGGGGTTTACGGGAACTTTCAACGTCACGTGACTCATCCTGAAGCTCTGTCCTCACATTTCGTGGCTGGGGCAGTTGCTGGATTTGTCCAAAGTTTTGTGTGCAGCCCCATGGAACTAGTGAAAACGCGGCTCCAGATTCAAGATATCAGGGCTGTACCTGGAGGCGGCTACACTGGACCAATGAACTGCCTCGTCCAGGTAACTCTGTTTTTCCTTACACCACGTTACAGGGTTCTTGTCCCTAAGGTTCATTAATAGCAGGTCCTTTTTTCTCATGTTTACAACTGATACTAAATGATCCGGCCGTCTTAACTTTTTGGGTTATTGTTTGTTTACGTCTGAATTGTGTGATTCTGCACGGCCCACATGAATTGTAAATTTTTTGAATTCGATATTCATCTTACGTTAGTGCATGTTTCAACATATATCTGACGTATTTTTCGCAGTTACTGTGGGCAGTATTTAGGCTCTGGCCGAAAGCAAACACCCAGCAGCTCTGATTTTAATGTCTGATCCGCAGGTGGCAAAAGCCGAGGGACTTCGTGGCGTATTCAGAGGCCTTGGTGCCACTATTTGCCGAGAGGTGCCAGGATTTGGTACCTATTTCTTTGCTTATGAGTTAATGACGAGGCCAGCTGGACCTCCTCTCAGCACCTCTCACATGATGTTTGCCGGTGGTCTTAGCGGGACGTTATCGTGGGTCATCACTTATCCGATTGACGTCGTCAAATCCCGTCTACAGGTTGACGGGATGGGTGGTGTGTACAGATACACCGGATTCGTTGATTGTCTGAGAAAAAGTATACAGACTGAAGGGTATCGTGTGTTGACCAGGGGCCTGGGGTCTACCGTTTTGAGGGCTTTTCCAACAAACGCTGCAACGTTCACTGTTGTTACCTGGGTAATCCGATGGGCTGATGAAAACCATGTCGAAACCACATCAGGATACGTGATTGCTGAATTAGTAGACTTTAAAGAAATTAAACCGTCTAAAGTCCAAAATGTAATTAATCATGACGAAGTGCATGGGTTTAAGGTTTTTGGAGTTCTGGAAAACATCGATTTCAAAGATAAATGCATGAAGACTGTCTTCGAGTTGAAGAAGACAATTCTTCACAATTTTATAGGAAGTAACATTTTCCCCAGTCAACAACTGATGTTAAAATCTAGGCAGATTTGTTCCTCAGGCAAAGGAGATGATAGCGAAAGATATTTTTGCGAAAATGTTAAGGAAGACATTTGCATGAAAACTGCGTTATTTCAGGAAAGTAAAACGGACACTATGAACAAAGCAGAGGAAGATAGAATAAATAAAAGTGAGGACTCAGAAGACGGAGAAAACTCAGACAGACAGAGAGACAAAGACTCACAGACTGAGAAAGCAACCAACACTTACGAACACAAAAATGATTACTACAATTCTTCTGTAAGGTAATTGTATATTGGACATAAAATGCCTTCATCCTAACTCAATGAAGAGTTTTGCAGGCGAAATTGATGTTTAAGGAAGGAACGCGCATTGGGGTCTCAAGTGTTATTTTTAGGGGTGTTTTCATCCTTAGGAGCGGTGTAATTTCTATGAAGATGTATGTATGCAAACGACAAGTAACATCCTGTGATATCAGTTTGTGTAATACGTCGTTAAAAAATTCGTGTGTTCTGTCTTATTGGAAAGATAAGTAATATGGAAATGACCTCTCTGCTGGTTTGAGTAGTTATAATGAACACACGTTAAGACACGTTGAACTACGAATCAGATTATTGAAGAGGTGAATTGTTTAACACGTGTTTTTATCAATTTTAGTCAGTGAAATAATGGCGTTTATAGCCTAAAACTGTGCTAATGTGATATATATATATAACTTATTACAGTCTTTATCTGACATGTGTAAGTGTGTCCAGACTGATTCAAAAAATGAATAAAAATATTTTAATTGACCTGACTTACGAAAGATTTTAAATTGTTTGATGGCTTAAAAATGATATGTCCTGGATCAAAATCACTTTTATCAGTTCTGTTTATTTAATTAGGAGTACAACAACCTGCATATTATGTTAATGTTAAATGTTTTGCCTGAAATTTATTCCTAGGCCTTCATGATATCTCGTAAGTCTTACATTCTGTTACGTAATTTCAAATTTACATTTTTTTTACATTCATGTGCTTGGAGGCGACTTTTCTAACTTCGATATTAAGGAGTGTATTTCTCGATATTGTCCAGGTAGCAGGTTATATTCTTATCAAACAAAACTTTTAATAACAAAGACATCTGTAAGACAATGTTGAATCAACCTACTTACAATATTTTAATTAAATTGTGTTTATTTAACTTCTCATTGAAGAAAGTGAATAATAATAATAATAATAATAATAAAACCGAGGTGATATTTCAGGTTCTCACGACTTGTGCATTGCCATTCCATTACATTGTATAATTTAAATGTTCCAATGTGAATATAATGACAATGATCCAAACCTCGCACATTTAACAGATTCACCAACACAGATTTTGGTATTATGATTCCATTTATATCCAGATTTTTCCATATGTTCATTTTATGTTGACATAAGCACAGTCCTTAGTTTGTGTTCGAGCGCTGAAAATCTTCCGGTGCATCTATCTGTCACCCTTCTACACTGAAGAAAGAGACACGGCCTCAAGAAGAACTTCAAGCAAGGTTTTATAAGGATACTACTCCCCAAAAGTAAGAATTCTTATGTAGTAACTTAAGACGTTTCGAACAGTACGTTTTACTTAAGAAACTAAAATATTTTTTTCGCAAGCTATATATATATATATATATATATATATGCCAACCTTTGATTAAAATAGCATTAAATACTAAGAGCAATAACTTAATCTAATTGACTTAACTCTCACCATATTGATATTCTCGTGTATAAAGTAGTCAAATATTTTTAACGTAATTTATCTTCGGTTCTTACAGGAATATATCTTAAATGAACGGAGAGATGTTATCATTATCTTCTGTCTACGGTAAATTTTTTCCGTTCCACGAGCGTGTATCAATGGAGCGAACACCGCAGAGCAGAATGTTATTTGACATGCCTTGCCGTCCCGTTGCGTAAACCGTGCCGTGCCGAGCCGACCCGAGCCGAGGTTACCACTATAGACTGCAGACGCCATGCAAACTGACGCGGAGTATATCATAATCCATGGATTATAGTACAGTCATGGTATGAATATAATGTGTTCATGAAACGATAATACATGATGTAGAAGCTATACTTTAAAATTCAAAACATTTAGGGAGGAAATTACTTACCCCCACGGTTCTGCATAATAAAGGGTTACTTACCCTAACGCATACAAATCTCCTATCCGTCTACCCGCCGTTTTAGAAGGAAGTTTAATATGTTTCAGGCCTATAATTCCAAAGGGTTTATAAGAACAGCGTCATCTCTGGATTATCGTGAAATACGCTGCTAAGAAATGACTGTCGAAATTCTGAATTTTAACCTCAGTTATCGATAATTCAGTAAGCTATTAATATACCTGATTTAAAATTTCCTTCTCAGAAGACGCTGTTCCCACAAAATGTAGTCCGCGGATGAATATCGAAATTCCGGTGCATGTAACCCGTTATTATAACACAATTTTGAAAACGTTTACAAAGTTTCGAAAACTAAAAATTTAGGAAAAAGAATCAGCCAAGTTGTTAAAAAGGGAGATATTGAACGTGTTGATATAATGACCTACTTTTTTAGTGAGGTCAAAATCTCTCTTTCATTATTTCAATAATCGCAGCCTTCTATTTGTCTTGAATCCCATCGCTCTTAACATCTTTTTCTGTGATTAAGTTTCTGATTTCTGCCGAGGGGCTATTCATAAACCTTTGTTCAATGAAGGGCAGACACAAATGAATTTAAAGTTGATGGATGTAACGTGGATAAAATATTCTGAATTTATTTGAATGAGATGTTTCCATTTAACAGGAAATTGTTGGTTGGTGATCGCTGTTTAAGGGCAAAATAGAAACGTATTTCTTTTGACAAAACAGCATCGATTCAGGTAGCCTAACTTACAAATACATTCATCATGGAGTGCGTAAGCCTTCACGTACGTATGCAGGGCTTTAAAAAGTCTTACACATAAAATAAAAATTTATTCACCATATCACAGACGCTCACAAAACTATATCGTATTTTTTTTTTTACTACGTAAATTTAAAAATAATATTAAACAATTGTGAATTTCTTCTCGCAATTTCTCAAAATCAGTTCACTTTAGAGAAATAGAAACATTCTGTGTATTAACGATTGTTTCGTGGCGTTCGAGTACATTTTCAAGACGACACTTCATGCCCTTGGGCAAACTAATGTTCACCTACATGGGGGATCAGCTCAGATACGATATCATGACTCAGGTACTATATTGCGTAGTATAATAATCCAGTATCAGGCCTGTAACAAACAAATATTGTCTGAATTTCCTGTGATGTACCAACGATTCAGATGCGGAGGTCTTAAAGTTAATTCTGATCGGAAATAAGAAGGCAGCAGTGGTCTACGAGGCAGCACTGTCCCCCCTTCTGTAGGATATCCGCGGAATTACCTGCCTTCCTAATCCTTCCCTCGTTAAACAAGACTTCCCCTCGAGATAGCGGACCTGGTTTAACATTTCCGTCACGTTTCTACACCGTTATGTTTCCAGCATCATAAAACACTTCATCTAAACAGATGAGAATTTACAGGATGCTCTTTTAGAACAAGTTTTTCGTTATTGTAACTCTGTTTCTGTGAGCAATACATTTTTAAGCAGATGGATCGTGCCTGACCCCGTAAAAATGGTCCAGTTTCTACACACAATCTGAAACAACGGCTGGCTAATGCTGTTTAAAACTAAGAGATTAGATGACAAATTAAAATGTCAAGTAACCACCTAACTTTCTGTTTTATGTATAAACAAGCCAGTTGAAGACGACAAACATATAATATTACATATTTAAATGAACAGGAAATGACTTTCATAGAGTTTACGTAAGTAGGAATCAAATTCATATCTCCTATTATCGACTATTCAGTATTATTTAATGTTTCCATCATCAGGGCGATGATGGAGGCAGTAAGCACCTCTGAAACGTCGGTAAACTTCTACCAGAATACACGGCTCTACATTAAAATCTTTTGTATAAGTTTATCTTCAGTTGAAATATTAAAATGTTAACAAAAGTACATTAATTACGAATGCAAATTGCATTTTTACGTCATGCCCCAGTGGAGTTAACAGAATTCATAAACACGCCGCTATTTTGAGATGTTCGCTGTAATGTATGCAGGGTATTCTTATAAACTGTAATAGTCTTGAGATTATTTCTGTTAAAGCAAGATTCATATATTCACTGATTTGAAAATTATACGCCGAGTTGTAGACGAGAAAGTTATACCAATGGCCGCATCAGACTTGTCCTCATTAAACATCATTTTATATGGACCTACTTTAAATCTGAATACAGTAAAAAAATAATAGTCCTGTGACGTCATTTCTTTGCGTGGAACTATAAGAAATGAGCGGAATTATAGAGAATTTATTCCAAAGTCGTTTTGCGATAACCTCCCATATTGCACAGTGAAAATTCTATTTCTGTCTTCTACGTCATATCGCTGTTTAACTTATTGCAGATACGGAACTAACTACACTGCAGATATCAGATTTACTACTGATAAAAAGTATATTTATTATATTTTTTAAAACATTTATCACGTCGAAAATATTTTAAGTAAAATGTATTTCGTGATTATATAGCTTAGATGGTTGTCTTCTGGGTTGTAGCGCCGAATATTTCGATATAAAATAATCGCCCTGATGATGGAAGTAGCAAGGACTTCCGAAACGTCGGTAAAAACTTCTATCAGACTTCACGAAGCTACAATCCAGAATACAACCAATGTATACTCGCCGCTGTGATAACCTCAAATCCTACTTAGATTTTTGCTTATATTATTATACAACTGATGGAAAATACTTTTGATGTGTAAAGACGTCATTTATGTTTTGTATTCATCTCTTATCTTTTTATCCTTTTCGTGACTTTATCACGTTCCTTCCATTCTCTCGTACTCCTTTATAATCCATTTCATGTATCCGTGCTACATACTACGTTATTTCAGAGACTGTTTCTTTAAGCGTCGCGGAACGTCGTCTTCTGGAAGATAATTATATTATAGAGTGAAAACTAGAAGAGAATTTAAACAAACAATAAACCATTAAACCGGCTTTTATGTAATAGAGATGAATAATATTTTTAAAAGAGACTGTTACCCGATCTTGCCGTAGACCTCTAGTACCAAATTTAATAAAATTCTATTATTAATTTTAAAGAATCAACGTGGTAGATATTTTTGACTAACCAAATAATTAAATTTCGTGGAAGACTTTCAAAATGTTGTCGAAATCTCTGGAGTTTTGGTGGTGGAACACGATGGCGGAGTAATATTTTTAACTTCTTTTGTGAGGAAATTCTTTATATTACAGAAGAAACGAGACTGCTCATAACTTTTATTTCCGCCAATTTACAGAAATGTTACCAAAAAAAAAATACATTTTCAGGAACTGCAGAAAATTCAAACACCCACGTAATTTTCTTTTCCTTTGTCGTCTTTACATTTTGGCGGGGTCTGCGCACGCAGAAGTCAGGAGTAGAACAATGACGTCAGATGTAATTGTTCATACGTATTTTACAATGGGTTAAAATCAAGAGCCAGGCGCCTCAGGTAGAGCAGGCGTCATGGCAATAACCAATGAGAGACGCGCATATTTGGACATGCGCATTTAACTTTA